AATGGCTTCAAGGTTCATCCATGCTGTAGCACTTATCAGTACTTCTTTCCTTTTATTGCCAAATAATATTCCATTGTATGAATATAGGGGCCCTGGTGGCACAGTAGTTAAGCATTTGGCTGCTAACCGAAAGGTCAGCAGTTCAAATCCACCAGTCACTCCTTGGAAACCTTACAGGGCAGTTTTACTCTGTCCTATAGGGTCGCTATGAATTGGGATCAACTCAACGGCAACAGGTTTATTTTTGTTTTGTTTTTGGTTTTGGTTTATATGCATTTACCACATTTTGTTTATCTATTTATCAGTTTATGTCCCCAAGTCCCATCACTTCTCTCCATCTCACTACTGCCAATCCTGCTCAGAGCCTCCATATTTCCATCGTGGACAACTCCAGTCGCCTCCTTCTCCTGTTACTGCCCATAAGTCTACTGGGTCACACCCTGCTCAAAAACCTCCAATGGCTCCCTACCGCTTAAAGAACAGAATACACTCCTCACATGGCCTAGGATGCCTCGCATGATGTAACTGCCCCCACTTACCTCTCTTTGGATCCCTGGTAGCACAGTGGTTAAATGTTTGGCTGCTAACTGAAAGGTTCAAACCCGCCAGCTGCTCCATGGGAGAAAGACCTGGCAAACTGCTCCCATAAAGATTGCAGCCTAGAAAAGCCTAAGGGGCAGTTTTATTCTGTCACATGAGGCTCCCTTTGCCAAAATAAAACCCATTGCCATTGAGTCGATTCCAATTCATAGTGACCCAATAATAATAGGTGCTAAAAAAAAAAGTATTCATTGAATGCTAAAAAAACTATTTTATCATCCACCCAGATTGGATGATAATAGTATCTACCTGATAGGGTAATTGCATGGATTAAATGACAACAATCGTGTGAAGAAATTAGCACAGCGACTAGCACATTGCAAGCATATAATAAATAACAGGCATTATTACTCCCATTAAGGAGCCCTGGTGGTGCAAAGATTAAGCGCTCAGCTGCTAACTCAAAGGCTGGCAGTTTGAACCCACCCAGTGGGAGAAAGACCTGGCTATCTGCTTCCGTAAAGATTACAGCCAAGAAAAGCCTGTGGGGCAGGTCTACTCTGTCATATAGGGTTGCTATTAGTCAGAGTCGAATCAACATCACCCAACAACAACAATTATTACCATTATTGTTATGTCTTTGGGGTGAGTTTTTGAGATAGAGCTCAGTTCAAACCCCACCCCTGCCACATCCTGGCTTGGGGGATCATGGGCAAGTCACTTCACCTCCCTTCAGTTTCCTTTTCTGTTAAATGGGCTACATTCATCCGCACCCAAACCAAAAAAACAAAAACAAAAACCCACCGCTGTCAAGTAAATTCTAACTCACAGCGACCCTATAGGATAGAGTAGAACTGCTCCTAGGGTTTCCAAGGAGCAGCTGGTGGATTTGAACTGCCGAACTTTCGGTTAGCAGCTGAACACTTAACCACTGTGCCACCAGGGCTCCGCATCTGCACCCAGTAGGCTACAACTGGAGATCAGGCATGTAAAATGCCCAGCACATAGGGTTGTTGTTGGATGCCGCAAAATCCATTTGACTCATAATGACTCATGTGACAGAGGAGAACTGCCCCATAGGATTTTCTAGGCTGCAATCTTTACCGATGGAGCCACTGGAAACTCTATGGGGCAGTTCTACTTTGTCCTTTGTTGTTGTTAGGTGCTGTCAAGTTGGTTCCAACTCATAGCGACCCTATGAACAACAGAACAAAACACTGCCCGGTCCTGCACCATACTCACAATCGTTATTATACTTGAGCCCATTGTTGCAGCCACTGTGTCAATCCATCTTTTTGAGGGTTTTCCTAGTTTTTGCTGACCCTCTACTTTACCAAGCACAATGTCCTTCTCCAGGGAGCGGTCCCTCCTGATAACATGTCCAAAGTATATGAGATGTAGTCTCGCCATCCTTGCTTCTAAGGAGCATTCTGGTTCTACTTCTTCCAAGACAGATTTGTTCGTTCTTTTGGCAGTCCATGATATATTCAATATTCTTCACCAACATCACAATTTGAAGGCATCAATTCCTCTTTGGTCTTCTTTATTCATCATCCAGCTTTCGTATGCATATAAGATGACTGAAAACACCATGGCTTGGGTCAGAAGCACCTTAGTCTTGAAGGTGACATCTTTGCTTTTGGTCACTGAGTCAGAATCAACTTGATGGCAATGGGTTTCGGGGTTTCATCTTTACCAAACGAGCGCTCGTGGCACAATGGTTAAGCACTCGGCTTCTAACCAAAAGGTCAGCGGTTTGAATCCACCGCTGGGTCCATGGGAGAAAGATATGACAATCCGCTTCAGTAAAGATTACAGCCTTGGAAACCCTATGGAGTAGTTGTACACTGTTCTATAAGATCACTGTGAGTTGGAATCCACTGGACAGCAACAGGTTTGGTTTGGTTTTTTTTTTTAGGTTACCCTTTACAGGAGCAGATCGTCAGGTCTTTCTCCCACAGAGCCACTGGGTGGATTCAAACTGCCATCCTTTAAGTTTGCAGTTGAGCACATAACTGATGCACCACGAGGGAGCCCTCCATAAACTGTAGCTATTATAATGATGCTGTAGGTTTCTTTTACACCCTCCTTCTTCCTGTTCCAGGAAGCCTGGGGTCTCTCCAGTAACCATAGCCAAGTTTGTCCTAGATTTAGTGGCTTCTATTTGAGTGCTGGTGGCTAAGCACTCAGCTGTCAACTGAAAAGGTTGGCGGTTTCCCCACCACCCACTCTGCAGGAGAAAGATGTAGCAGTCTGCTTCCATAAGGATCAACCAAAACCCATCTTGTGTGAAGATTACAGCCCTGGAAACCCTAGGGGGCCGTTCTACTCTTTCCTATAGGCTCGCTATGGTTGGAATCAACTCAACGGCAACGGGTTTGGTCTGGTTTCTGTCCAGGGCTTAAAAGGCCAACAATCGAACAACTGTTGGTGCTAAGATATGTGGAGGTGGTGAGGTGCCCAGCATTCAGACCTACGGACTGGCAGACGTGGGAGGGCCCTGGGTTGGTTGGGTGTCATGTCCTCTTTACACGATGAGCAAATGAAGGCCCGTTTCAACTTGCCGGCCTCCTTTTCCCTTGGTATCTCCAGAGGGTCTGTCGGGGGTGAGGGGAACCCTGGCCACAGTTTTCAGACAACTGAGTTCTCATTTCACTGACACTGAGGTCTGGGGAGGGCCTTCCAGCCAACCGTGTGCCCATTTTCCAGACAGGGCAAGTGAGTCCTGGAGAGGGCCTGTCTGGAAGCCACTGGCCAGTCACAGGCAGATTCATGAGGAGAGGCAGGGGAGGAGGCCTTGGGACTCTATGAATTCCTTCCTTGGCATCACAAGGGGTCCTAGTGCCCATCTTCCACAGAAGGAAACTGAGGCCTGGTGTCTTGAACGAGGCCTGGCAAAGGTCGGCGGTCACACATTTGAGGGCCAGGCGTCCACACCTCCAAGGTCATTCTAATTGGTCTTTAAACCTCTGAACCCAGGACGCGGAACACAGGTCACATCCAAGCACAAAATGGCGCCTCACAGAAAAATTAGATCCATTTCCGGCGCCCACCCGCACCGGCTGTGAACGAAGGGGGATGCAGGAGTAACGCGTATCTCATTTGCATATACAAAAAAATCAACGTAGCTCATTGGCTGGAAGAGGTTAGTCCCGTGCTAAAGCGGGTCCCCATTGGTTCTTATTCATTCGTCCCCGCCCCCCCCGGCACCTCCCTCTCTGTCAGCGATTTGCTCGTGAGAGTCTAGGGCTCGCCATCCCACGAACGCGCGTCCCTATTGGTCGGAACGCCCTCCGCCATCAGTTTAAAAGCCCCCGAGTCCCGCCTTCCCTCACCCGGCCCCGCCGCTCAGACCGGCCGTTACTGGCATGCGCGACCTCCCGGCCCTCGGAGCACGCGCACGCACGCCGGGCCGTAGCGGCGTCCCATTCAAACAGCCCAATCAGCAGCCGCGTCGCCTCTCACGTAGCCTTCCCTCTTTTTTTTTTTTCCTTCCCCCTTTCCCTTTTCAGCCCCTCCATGCTCTGGGGTCGCCTCCCCGATCCCCGCGGAGCACCATTGGCTGGCCCGCTGCGCTCCCCCTCCCCAGTTCCTCTCGCCTAGCCCCGCAGTTTGCGGCGGAGACAGTGAAAGGGTCGAACGCCGCGGACCGTGTGCGCTGACGTCACGGGTCAAGGCGCATCGCTGCGGGAACGCGGGGGGCGTGGCGTGCGGGCTCATATAAAAGGGCCGTGCTGCGCGCGCGACGCGCTTAGTGCGGCCGGGCAGCCGGGGCGGGCGGATAGTTGGGTCCAGTGTTTGGTGGGCCTCGGAGGCAGCGAAGAGCGGAGTGGGGCCGCCGGGTCCTCGCCAGGGCCGTAGCGGCACCTGTTGGGCCCACCCCGCCCCGGCCGGGGGCCCGAGGAGCGCAGGAAGGGGGCCGGGGGGACCCGCCCCCGGCCGGCTGCAATCATGGTGAGTGCAGGCGGCCAGACCTGCGATAGGCTGTTGGGGGCTCCCGTGGAGGAGGTGGCAGGGTCACCGGAGGGATTTGAGGGCCTGCCCTGGGGGTTCCAGGGGCGGTGATGGGCCCCAGGGGCTTTCTGGAGGCGGGGTAGGGACCTGGGCGGCCGTCAGGCTCCAGGGAGCAGAAGGCCCAGCTGTGCCTCCGAAGGCTGCGGGCGCTTCGAGGCCTTCCCATGGGTGTTACCGGGAGCAAGGACGTTTCACCGCCATCTCCAGGCCCTAGCTGGGGTCTTAAGGATGGCTCAACCAAGGTTATGTGAAGAAGGGGGCCAGGGTAGGCCTCAGGCCTACCTGGAGCCGTTGGAATTTTATGCAGGACTACAGGAGACTGGGGCTTTTGGGAAGATGGAACGGTTTAGAAGGCCTTTGCGAGTCCCGCCACCGTTTCTAGTGGGAGGTCAGTGTGGGGCAGTGATCCTATAGTATTCTGAGTATGAGTCTAGGAGCCTGGGGGCCACAGTGTCAGGACCAGGGCAGCCACCGAATTCTGGATCCTGCAGGGGGTCCTGATCTGCTGGCCGCTAACCCTCTTCCTTCCTTGCCCAGAACTCCAATGTGGAGAACCTGCCCCCCCACATCATCCGCCTAGTGTACAAGGAGGTGACCACACTGACTGCCGACCCACCAGATGGCATCAAGGTCTTTCCCAATGAGGAGGACCTCACCGACCTGCAGGTCACCATCGAGGGCCCTGGTGAGTGAGGGAGGGGCCGCCTCGTAGGGTCTTCCATCATCCTCATAACAAACTGAAGCTCCCATCCCAAGCCAGATGGGACCCGTACACACTCAGTCCCGTGGTGTTCATGGTTTTCGGGGTAGGACACCACACATGACACACAATGAAGTGTTGCAGGAATTCCTTGGTGCAGGGAGAGCACATAATGGCGGCCTGGCCTGGGTTGGGGGCAAAGCTGTTAGAGGTGGCTTCTCTAAGACCCGACAGATAGGTGAGGATTAAGTGGTGGGGAGCCAGGTTCCAGCAGTGACAACAGCACAAGCAAAGGCCTGGAGGGTGGGCCACGTGACCTCAGGCTCCTCCATACTTCTTGAGTGTCGGGACACTGGGGACATGGCATTGTGAGGGAACAGATAGTAATTAGACAGCCACCAGTAATTGTGTAATTGTGCACGGCATGAACTATGTTTCTGTTTGTACCTGGATTTCAACAGAGTAGTAACCCCAGATATTACAAGAGCATGTCATGCGGGGACCCAGTCAGGAGGAGGGACAGTCGGGAGGGGCCAGGGTGTGGCGAGGAGGCAGATGGACCTACTCCTGCTAAGGCCCTGAGGTAGACAGAGCTCAGTCACCGTAATGTAGGGACAGATTGAAGCATTTTAGGGTTTAGGGCCTCATGGGCCTGGGTAAGGAGTTTGGAGAGGAAGCCCTTAGGGGGTTTAAAGCAGGGGTGTGATGAAGTCCTATAAAGTTTACTTTGCCTGCAGAGGGGAGAGTGGACTGGGGGCAGGTGGGCAGGAAGTACAAGCTGGACCAGTCAGGAAGCCAGTGACTTCTGCTGGCATCCAAGTGACAGGGCAAGTGGCTTGGACAGGTATGGGGAGAGGGTCAGATCCGGGGAACAAGAGGCCAGGCTGCTGGTGGGGAGGATAGCACAGGGTCAGAGCGGCTCCTGCATGTTTTGGCCTGAACAAATGGGTGAATGTGAGGAGGGTTGGCCAAGGGGGAAGGACAGTGGAGCTGAGGGAGCTGTCTCATCATTTGCCTGGGAGACATTTTTCCAGGAAGACAAGTGGGTGCATTGGTCTGGGCCTCCTGGGGGTGGCCCAGGGCTGGGGTAATACTGTGGGGGAGAAAAGAAGGGGAGACTGGAGTGGAGACCGGTAAGGGGTGCGGGTGGGCACCAGCTCTGATATGAGGAAGGCAGCCCCCTGTAATCTGGCCCTGTCCCTGCTCTCAAGAACCCTCAGTCTGGTGGAGGAGGCAGGTGGACCACTTGGTTCATAGCCAGACAGTGGAGGTTGGCTGCCAGCACAGAGGAATCCCAGGCTCCGGGGTTTTGCGGGCCTGGGGGTCCTGGGCCTCTTGACCAGCCCCTCTCTCCACACCAGAGGGGACCCCCTATGCCGGAGGCCTATTCCGCATGAAGCTTCTGCTGGGGAAGGACTTCCCTGCCTCTCCACCCAAGGGCTACTTCCTGACCAAGATCTTCCACCCCAATGTGGGTGCCAACGGCGAGATATGTGTCAACGTGCTCAAGAGGGACTGGACGGCGGAGCTGGGCATCCGTCACGTGCTTCTGGTGAGTGGGCTGGGCCTATCCACCACCCACCACTTGGGCGTCCCAATCGTGTTGGAACCACAAGGCTCTTTTTTTCCTTTTTTTAAAATTAACTCTGAGGTAGTTGGGCTTTCTACGTAAAAACCCAGGTTGACAGGTTATTTGGAAAATTTTTGGAAGTGTTGGTAGTACTGGGCCCAGGGCACCAGGTGTTCCTGTGCAGGTTGTATGGTGCCTGGGGTCACCTTTCCTGTGAAACAAACCCTAGATCCTGAAACAGATTTCTGAACAGGTGAAAGTACAGCATCTGATTAAAGGCTCACTCTTGCGTTGTTCAGTTGTTGAGATATAACTCACATACTGTAGTATTCACTGTTTTCAAGTGTACAGTTCATTGGTTCTTAACACTTTCACAAGGTTTGTGCAGCCCTCACCAGTGTCTAATTCCAGAATGTTTTCATAGACTATGGTTCTCAACCAGAGATGGTTTTGCCCCCCAGGAGAAATTTTTAGTTGTCACAGCTTGGGGGGTGGGGGTGCTGCTCTCAACATGCTACAGTGCACAGGGCCCCCCACCCAGAGAATAATCTGACCTAAAATGTCAGCAGTGCCAAGAGTGAGAAACCCTGGACTACAGTACCACAAAGGTCGGCCAGCCCACTTAAAGCATTTGTCACCTGCCTCTCTTCTATCCCCACACCCCAGCTTTTTTTTAAAAAAACCAAATTTCTAATGAGCCCTTGAAGCAGATGCCTGAGGTTTTGGTAGGAAGATGGGGAACTGGGGTTTCCTGTAGGACATATAGAGCTGATCAGCAACAAGGTAAACAGACCCCCTTCCCTTCTTGTCTGCTTCCTTCCCCTTCCTCTCCCTGGGGTGCAAGGGAGGCTGCTGAGGGATGGACAGACATTGAAATGAGCTCACAGAATAACACCAGGTGTTCCCTGTGAGCCTCTGGGGTGGGGAATGTGGGACTCCAGTGGGAGTTATGGGTATTGTCAGAAGGAGCTGGGGGGAGGGGAGCCAGGCCACAGTTGAGGGAGGCTGTGATAACTCGGGTTGAGCAGAGCAGGGGCCAGTATCTTGTGTCCCTGATCACCTGAGCCAGGTGCTTTGTGTGTATCATGTTGTCACATCCTCACAACACCCCTATTGCCCCCGTTACTGTCACCATTGTATGAGCAAGAGAGGTCACACCATCTGCTAAAGGCCACATGTGTTCCTGGGGGCATCCTGGGTTGCCAGGGTCCCTTCTGGAAGGAAAGTCGGGAGTGGAGCAGAGGAGGTAGACACCATGGGCTAGGGGCCAGGGTTCTATCTGTTCACAACCACATACTGAGATTCCAGAGGCTTCCCCAGAGGCTGCTGCAGGCCTGGTTTATGGTCTCACCTACCAGACATGGAGTCCACACTCTCTGACCCACAGTTTACACTTGGACTAAGGGGCTGAGGGGTGGGTGTGGAGCGGACTTGCCCCGTCCTGGGCCAGCCCTTTGGCCGCCCTCTAGTATCAGGCCATCTGCCAGCCTGCTTGCATTGTCCCTCTTCATGTGGTCCAACCACGCAGCCTTTGGCTCTGGGCTTGGGGCTCCTGTTAAAGCGACAGCTTTGGCTTGTCCTTATTGTAGCTTTGTGAAAAGATGGGATGCATTGTCCCATTTCGGTTGAGCAGCCCTGGGACAAGTCCCTCTGCCTCCCCCGTCTTTCGTTCCTGATCTGGGGCCCCGAGGGGCTGTACAGTAGTCACTTTGAGCTGCACGGAGCAAGTTAGAAACCACAGTGGGGCTCAAACTGGGACCACCTTCCTCACTGGGAGAGGGGCCTCATGTTTTTTCCCTTCACCCAACAAGGGGCTTTCAGAACCAGAGACATTGAGCCCTGGCCCAGGCATGCCAGTTGCAGCTTTTATTCCACAAACAACACCTGCTCTGAGCCTGTGGCTGTTCTGATGCTGGAGAAAGAACAGAGGACAGACCCAAGCTCTGGTCAGGGACGTGTTAGACTGTGTTTAGAGAGGCATGTGCGATGGAAGGATGGGCCCATTTTTAGTGGAGCAATTAGAGGAAGGCCCTCGAGAGGACACTTGAGTAGAGATGACAAGAAAGAGGGAAGGAGCAAGCCAGACTGGGATCTGGGGGGAACAGTGAAATGGAGAGAACAGTCTGTTCAGAGGCCCTGAGGCTCGCAGAGCCCTGTGGGTGGCTGCCCTCCTGACCCGGCCCTGGTCTCTCCCCACAGACCATCAAGTGCCTGCTGATCCACCCCAACCCTGAGTCTGCGCTCAACGAGGAGGCAGGCCGTCTGCTCCTAGAGAACTATGAGGAGTATGCGGCACGCGCCCGCCTGCTTACAGAGATCCACGGTGGTGCCGGCGGGCCCAGCGGTGGGAGGGCTGAGGCTGGCCGGGCCTTGCCTGGTGCTTCTTCGGCCTCCACTGACCCCTTGGCCCCTGGGGGTCCAGGCGGGGCAGAGGGTCCCATGGCCAAGAAGCACGCGGGCGAGCGCGATAAGAAGTTGGCCGCCAAGAAAAAGACGGACAAGAAGCGGGCACTGCGGCGGCTGTAGTGGGTTCTCCCTGCCTTCCCCGTCCTCACCTGCACCCCCAACTCCTGTTCCTCTGCTCTGTCTCTAAGTTATTTAAATTATGGCCGGGGTGGGGGAGGGTATGGGGGGCACTGGGCCTGGACTTGTTTTTCTAAATAAAGTTGGAAAAGCAGCTGTTTTTAGGTTTGAGGACATTCCTGCCCAGCTGTTCTCTGGGGTCAGATCCCCTGTCTAAAATGGGGTGGGGAGGGGAAACCCTTACCTGTGTGTGCCCCAGCCTGCTCCTGGTGGCCTCAGCATCCTCCCCTCACTCTCCCTTGGAGATAGGCATGTGGGCAGGGCTGTATCCCTCCCTACCCAGGGTGGCAAGTGACAGGTGCGAAGTCTTGCTCTCACCTTGTCTGGCAAGGAGGCTGGTCTCTTCTCTGGTCCTGTACTAAGCAAGGGTGTGTCCCCTCCCCTTGAGGCCCCTGTTGGGTTTGTCCTTGTGGCATCAAAGCCTGTTCTTGTATTTCCGTATAACATCACAAACAGAAATACCTAGCTCACAGTTTCTGTTCAGAATCCTGGGCAAGGCTGAGCTTTCTCTGCTTAACAGAGGTGTCCATTGGGCTGTGATTCCTTCAACGTCTTTTGACGCTTACGGGGTTGCTGGTAGATTGCAGTTCCTTGTAGTTGTAGGACTTGCAGGCTAGGAACTGTTCTCAGCTCCTAGAAGACACCTGGAGTTCTTGCCGCTTGGTCACCCCGGCCCCACATTCCCTCTCAAGCTTCAAGTATGACTTACGGAAGGGCCCTGTCCCTTTTAAGGGATTAGGTCAGGCCCGTCCATACAATCTCCAGAATGGTTAGCTCAACCCCCACTGAGAACAGCTTAATCCCAGGAGTAATATCTCATGATACAGGTAGTCCCCAACTTACGGTGGGGTTCCGTTCCAATGGAGCAGTCATAAGTTGATTCTAACATAAGTTGAATACCTTTTTTTTTCATACATGACAGCGTTTCAAACAGTAAATCATAACATTGAACATCTGCAAGTATCTGAGAATGATAACATCAGCAAATTACACATTGCAACATTGTACGTAGTATGTATTACCAACTATAAGATGTACAAAAAACCCCAGAAGGTCGTAAGTGCGATTCATCATAATTTGAATACATCCTAAGTCAAGAGACTACCTGTGTTCACAGACCTTCAAGGGGAAGGGAGCCTTAGACCCAACCTGAGCAACCTGCCACAAGGTTACCCTTCAGCAGGTGGCTTCCTCATCTTCATCTGCAGGACCAGAGATTACTAGTCACTGTATAGAGTTTCTGTAAGTTAGAACTGACTGCAACAAGTTCGGTTTCTTATTTTTTGTTTGGTACCTCTTGGATCCCTGGTGGTTAAAGCACTTGGCTGCTAACTAAACGGTCGGACATTTGAACCCACTACTCTGTGGGAGAAAGATGAGGCAGTCCGCTTCCTTTAAAATTACTGCCTTGGAAACCCTACGGGGGCAGTTCTAAGAGTCGCTATGACTCGGAATCTACTCAGCTGGCAGTAGGTTTGGGCGCCTCTTGGACTAGTGGAGGGTCAAGGGAGTAGGGCCACATAGGAAGCTAGTGTTAGGGGGTGCCCAGAGGTGGGAGGGAGGGAGGGAGAAGAGGTAGGTCTTGGCAGCTTAGAGGGGAGAAGCCAGAGAAGGTTGCTGGAGGATTTTGAGGGACATGATCGCAGCCTGCTGCTGGAGAATCTGTACGGGCAGAGGTGGGGACCAGCTAGGGAGCAGGTGACGGGGCTTAGAAGGCGGTGGCAGTGGGGCTGTCAGACTCCCAAGTCCAGGAGGTAAGAACACACCCCTGGAACCCTTCTGAGCCAGGTCCACGTTCCCCAGAACAGGCTACTGGCTGAAGTCCAGGGCTGCCCTTTCCCTCCTGGCAGCTTTCCCCTCAGGGCCTCAACTGCCTTCCTAAGATAAGGATAGCAGTTCAGGTACCCCACTGCCTGTGGGATCCCATTTCAGACACAAAAGCCCAGGGACAGCTATGGCCCAATGTCTATGCCCACCCGTCTTCCACACAGCCCAGGATGCTCAACATCTCACTCCTGGGGGTTCTGCAAGTCCTGGGAACATCCCCTGAACCCTGACACCCAGTCTGAGGCACTAAGGACCAGCCTACTCCCTCCGGGATGGGCAAGGCATGTGTCCAGTGGACAGCCTACCCCCCACCTACCCCAGTCCTTGGGCCACTCCACAAGAGACAAAGGGCCTAGAACAGGGATCAGCTAGGACCTCCTGCAGAGGGCCAAACAGCAAGTATTTTCTCCTTCGCAGGCCATGCAACTCTGCCATTGTGGCAACCATAGATGGCATGTGACAAGTGGCCATGACTATCTTCCAGTAAAGCTTTATAAAAGCAAGCAGTGGGCTGGATGTGGCCTACAAGGTGTAGATTGCTGACCTCTGGCCTAGATCTCCATTCCTCAAGAAACTGTTTTAAAGGATTAGAAGTTGTCACTCAAGGCCTTGAAGCTTTGTCATGTTAGCAAGAAGTGTGGGGGTCTCATGGTTCTAGAGCACTACTTATTTAACTTCCACTTCTAATTCATCACATTGACCAATCACCTCTGGTGTGTTTAATTCTTAAGAATCATACCAAGTTCTCCCAGGGCTGGACCACACCTCACAGTAGCAGCTATGGCTCAGGAACCACCTGGACTCATGTCTCTAGCTCCTGGTAACAGCTTCTCTGCTGTTGTACTCTACTCTGGGGCCCAAAGATCTGGGTGGTACTTGTGGATGGGGACTCCTAGGAAGAAGCCCGGGCCCCCACTGGGGGCTCAGCTGTGACCAGGGCCCATTCCTCACAGGGCCAAGAGAGCTACATGAACCATTCCCACCCAGCCAGCCTGACAGTTGTTCCTGGCCAAGCTGAAACGGGGGGGTCTGGTCACACAACACACAGGGGCTGCTGCCGAGCTCCCGGGAGCCAAACAAAAGGGAGGCCCAGGCATTGGAAACAAGTTATCTTTATTGCTCTGGGGGAGGCTGTTCAGGAGCTCTTGGTGGGGCGAGTCCGCTTCCTCTTCACCATCACAGGCTTCTGGCTGCGCAGGATGGCACTGGCTCTGCGGATGGCAGCCTGTGGATGGGAAGCAGGCTCAGCAACAGCCAGGGCGCCCCCACCCTTCACAGCTGTCCCCACCCAGCCTGCCTTTTGGACCCTGTGGGGGTAGATGTCTGAGGGGAAGGCCCTTCTCTACAGTACTGGCCAGACTCTCCCTAACCAGTCCCTGAAGTGTAGTCCACTGATCCCTCCCATCCCCAAACACAGGTCCTAGGCAGCAAGAAACACAGGGCACCCCAGAGTTCACCCACTGGGCCCCACTCACCATGCGCAGATCGGGGCGATACTTGTTCTTTCGGATCATGTGGCGGATGCTGCTAAGTGTGGCTCGGGCATTCTTGTTAATGGTGGTCCGCACGTAGGAGGTGGCCGGCTTACGCTGGCCTGGGAGGAGGGGGTTGCCCATTGGTCAGTGGGATTGTCTGGGGCTGGGGGGGCTTGGGTGCCCCTCCCAGACGTAAGGAGGCCAGCTGACTCCTCTCCCCCAGCCTCCTCAGGCACTTCTCATCCTCACAGTAACCCTAACACAGTAGCTATCTCCACCTCCCTTGAAAGAATGAAATGGGCAACATGGAAAGGAGAATCCTCTTGTCCAAGGTCACATGCGTGGAGCATGGCTGCAAACTTTGGAATCTAAGCCACCTGACCCCAAACTCCATGTTATAGGGAGAGAGCACGTGGCGCAGAGGCACTGTGCAGGTCAGGTAGTGAGCACACTGGAGCATGAGTAGAGAGAAAGATAAGCTAGGCTGCAGTAACGACAAGCTGGAATAAAGAGTCTTTGTAAGTTCTTTTTTCTTTGGCGTATGTTTAACTATACTGGAGATGATACTCCGACTTACAAACTGCATGTTAAATATACTTCAATTTCCTAAAAAAAAAAAAAAAAGCAAGACTGCAGCTCTGGCCTCCTGTCCCTGTCCCACGCTCCCAGGGCCTGGGGTGACAAGAGAGGCTACTGGGCACAGGGTGTAACGAAGAGTCCTGGCTCTCATCTGTACTAACAGGAATCACAAACAACCCGACGCCCCTGCACCCCTACCAGAGAAAACACCCTCTCCCTTTCCTGTGCCACGGCCACCAGATTCCTAGTCAGGACCTGAAGCCAGACGGCCCAGATGGAGGCTGGAGCCAGAACCTGTGCTCCTGGTGACAGATGTCTCTCCAGGTCTCTCCTCCAGAAAGCAAAGGACCCACCCGTCATCCCAAGGCTTTAACAGATTTGATGCAGTTGCTTAAACCCTGCCCCCAAAGTTGTTAGGTGCCTTCGAGTCAATTCTGATTTATAGCGACCCCATGTGACAGGGCAGAACTGCCCCACAGGGTTTTCTAGGCTGTTGTCTTTATGGGAGGAGGATCGCCAGGCCTTTCTCCCATGGAGCGGCTGGTGGGTTTAGACCTACAACCTTTTGGTTAGCAGTCAAGCACTTAACCATTGTACCACCAGGCCCCAAAGTAGGGCCTCTATTCTCCTCACACCAGTCCACTTTCTTACAACCCAAGGAAACCCACCCTTTTATCAATCTAAAAGAGGAAAAGATGGTTTTTAGGACCCAACACATCAGAACTCAGAAGTGAAAGAACCCTGGAGGCACACTAGCAGCTGGGGCCAGCGACTGTTCCTGAAAAATGACAATCATCTCCCTAGTTACCAGCCAGGAGACTGTGGATGCTGCTGTCACAGAACCTGAACGGAAACCAGCTCCACACAAAGACGTGGGAAAACCAACCCAACTCATTCCTACCTTCTCAAGCACAAGCGTGTAATGGGATACCCCGTGACTCAACTGTTAACAGCCCAGGAGATTCCTGCCTCCCAGACCTTTCCCTAGCCCACACACACTGAGAGAGACCCTAAACAAGGCCCCGACTGTGCCTGAATCCGTTTATAAAGGAAGTGCACAGGACTCTTCTCTGAACTCACACACAGGCAGACTGTGGGTCAAACCAAACTGCTTGGTTCTGAACCAGCCTGTCACTTGCTACACATGGCAACTAGGGCGAGGCACCTGTTTGCCTCCATTCTCACTCGTGAGGTGGAGACATCCACCTCCACCCCAGTTTTGAGGATTTAACCTGAAAACATCTCACCATCATGTAATTTAATTCTCACAACCACCCGGCGAAGTTCAGGTCCCAATAGCTTCTCCACTTTACAGATGAGGACCAGGCTAAGAGATCTCTTAGCCCAGACAGAAGCTGGCCTCCCAAGCCAATACCCTGACCCAGGTATTCTCAACTCAGTGACAGAAATACTCCTGCTGCCTGAGTCTCCGGGCCAGAAGGGGACCTGAGGTCCGGGTCAACCCAGCGCCAACGCTCACCTGTTCTCCGCTTCAGGACCACCACGACCCCTTTGCCGTCGGCTGCCGGCTCCACGCCCACAGTCTTGCGGTGAATCAGCCCGTTGTAGCGGAAGGAGTTGCGGGCTTTCAGGTTATTGGGTTCCTGGAGAGGGGGCATCGGGATGGTGAAAAGGGAACCAGAGATATGTGGGGGTCCTTCCTCAGGTTCAAAGTTAGGACCCCAGTCCCCTCATTCTTCAGGTAACCAGGCCCCCAAAACCCATCACTCTTAGAACCGGGAGTCCCGGCCCGAATCCCTCCTCCCTCAGACTCAGGGCTCCGGACCCCACGTACAGTGCTATACGTCTGCTTGTTCCTCTTGATCAGGAAACTGGAGCAGTTCCGCACGACCATCCATTGCAGATGCGCCGACATGGCGCCAGCTGCGAAGAAATGGGACACGTGAACGATCTCAAACAGAGAAGCAGACCCACGTTGTTTATGATTGGGAACCTGGGTGAATGCTGGAACCCCTGAGCGGAGGTATCAATCCAGAACTGTGTCAGGTGGGGCTGAGTGACCTAAGGCGGCGGGGCTGAACTCAGGCAACTGAGACTAACTGGAGCGCATGGTAGGGGAGGGGGAGTATGTGAAAATCCACAGCGACTTCTGGCGGCGGGGATGGAGGTCAGCCTCGGAGACTCGGGCATCGGAGGCGCGATGGGAGAGGCTGGGCCGGGGGCTGGGGGCAGTGTGCAGAGACAATGAGCGTCGGGTGCGAGATGGCGGCCACGCCGGACGCACAGACAAAAGCGCACTCACCTCCTCTCCCTACGGCAGCCGGAGACGGAAAGAGGCAGGCAAGGGGCGGGGCGACGCCTTTAATACCATACACGCATTTCCGCTTCCGCTCTGAGAACGCCCGTGAGCCCTCCTGTCCCCGCCTCCTCCCGCTCATCGGCACAGCTTCCGAAGCCGCTCGGTAGTCTTCGGCTGTTTCCGCCAACCCGACGCGTACTGCTCGGGAATCCTTGGAACTCTTCGGATAGGGAACGGAAGACGCGTTCTCGGACGTAGAAAGTCTCCATCCCGAGGATCGTTCGGAAGTTTTCGGAACCTCTTGGCTGGATTTCCGAGTGGTCCAGTTAGAAAGTCCCGAATTCTCCGAGACCCATTCCGAAGCGGGCTCCCTCCAGTGTGCTTGGCACTGTGCTTGGCCTATGGTGCGCGCCCAGTGAACATTTGTTTTATGAATGAATGTTTGAATGAGTCCCGCTCAAGCGTCTTCGGACACTTCCGGTCTTGTTTCGTAAACCCTCGGCTGTTCCGGACTGTCACCCAGGAGCGTTCGGGCATTTTCGGAACTCTCCGGAAACGCTCTCCGCAGGGGCGTACGCCTTTGCCCATGCCCTTGCCCGCTTCGGGTCTGCTCGGTTCCCATTCGGCCATGCTCGGAATCCTTCGGCTAAACCCAGCAACTCTTTTATTTCGTCCTACCCAAGTTCCTCTTAAACTGTTGAATCTGGGGAGAACCTAGGCAGAACCTTCTTGCGGGCTGCCATCCCGGGAGAGCACAGATTTCCCAAAAGGGCCAGCTGTTGTTTGGAGGAGGAGAGATTTACACGTGAAAGCTTTTGTTCAGTTTAGGGGTTCGATATCTGCGCCCTGCCTCTTCACTCCGCTTGACTGCCTCCGGCCCCTTCCCCCTTCCTGTCTGCCCTACGTTGTTGTGTGCCATCGAGTCGATTACGACTCATAGCGACCTCATGTGATAGAGTAGAACTGCCCCATAGGATTTCTTTATGGGAGCCGATCGCCAGGTCTTTCTCCTGTGGAGCCGCTTGGTGGGTTCGAACCCCTAACTTTTCGTTTACCAGCCGAATGCTTAACCATTGCACCACCGAGGTGCCTTCCGATCTATGTTATGTCCATTCAACTTCCTGGAAGTTTATTTTCTGTTGTCAGGGTCATCCTTAAGGGTCAGGGGCGGCGCCTCGTGTAGTTCTGTGTCCTCAGCTGGCACTGGGGAGGCCTCAGGGGACCCCTACCGAACAGCAGGAATGACAATGCCCTATGCCACCTCCATTTGCTCACCTGGAATGATGATTACCTCTGGGAACTCTAGGGCCTTCTTGTTGGATCCATCTCTGTGCCCTTGGGCTACACCCATAACGAGTCTTGGACAGTTCTGGGGCCTCAGGAGAAAGCTTCTGAGCAAACGCGAGTACCCTGCTCCAGCCTCAGGAGAAAGCTTCTGATTAAACGCGAGTAACCTGCTCCACTTCCACTGTAGCTCTGAATCTGACGATAAGTGAGACCTGTCCATCTCTGCCCCTTTGGTTTCATTCATTACGCAGGCACGCAGTGACCGAAGGAAACGGGCATAGAGTTAAAGAAATTCTCGGCTCCTGCAGAGCCCGCGTTTCCTTCATTCCAGCACTCGGACTTGATTCTCTACATCCCAGAGTTCCTTGGAGTACAGGGGTCTTATCTGATCCTTTTTTTTTTTTTTTTTTTTGCCTCCCCGTCTCCACCATTATTAATGATAGGGTCGCTATGAGTCAGAATCGACTCGACGATTTGGTTTTTATCCCCACCATGGAGCCCTGGTGGCAGAGCGGTTAAGAGCTCAGCTGCTAACCAAAAGTCAGCAGTTTGAATCTACCAGCGGTTCCTTGGAAACCCGACGGGGCAGTTCTACTCTGCCCTATAGCGCTGCTATGAGTCAGAATCCACTGGACGACAAAGGGTTTAGTTTTTTGTTTTGTTTTATTCCCACCATAGGTGCCTGGGTGACGCAAACGGTTCGAATCTACCCAGCTATGCCACGGGAGAAAGCCCTGGCGACCTGCTTCCCGTAAAGATTACAGCCAAGAAACCCTATGGAGCACAGTTCTGTTCTGACACACATGGGCTCCCCATGAGTCAGAATGGACCCCACGGCAACACGTTTGGTTTTTGGTATTCCCACCACCGGGCTTGGAGAACAGAAGGCCTCAGGAGGCCACATTGCACAGTAACAGCGCCCTGGTTTCCCACAGTGCACTATGCTGCCTCATTTAGGACTCCCTGAATTTTTACTGCGTGTTGCTTCGGGGTGCAGGGGCCCTGGGCCACCCATGTCTGCGCGCCTGGCTGCTCCAGCACAGAAACCACCGCCAAGAAGCCTCCAAGCCGGGCCCGTGGGCGCTCAGGTGACCGGGCGGGCGCCGAGCATAGCTGGTGCTGTCCCCTGACCCCGCCCCGGGACGGGCCGCACCCGGAACGCTCTTGCGGAGGCAGCGGCGGCGGCGCAGGGCCATGGCGGCGACGGCGGCGTGCACCCTGCCGGGGCCCCCGCCTGAAGTCCCGACCCCGCCGGCGGCCGCACCCGCGCCCGTGTCCGGCCTGGGCCGCTGCCGGATGGCGCTGCTGCTGGCCGTGGCGCTGGACGTGGCGGGCATGGCGGCGCTGCTGACCGGCGTGTTCGCGCAGTTGCAAGTGCGCGGCCGCGACTTCGGCGACCTGCTCATCTACTCCGGCGCGCTGCTCGTCTTCCTGAGCCTGCTTGGCTGGATCCTCTGGTACACCGGCAACATCGAGATCTCACGCCAGGAACTGGAGCGCGACTACGGCCTGCGGCCCTCGGCTCTAGCCCGCCTCGCGCGCAAGATCTCCCGCCGATGGTCGGCACCGGCCTCCTCCTCCGGCGCGCGC